GTTATGATGGTTCAACATGATTGATGGTATTCATTTAACATTCCAACATAATTGATGGAAACTTGGATTGATGATACTGAACGAATGTCGGGGCATAGAACGTGTAAATCTTCTTGTAAGGAATTCTGGTAATGCAGCATTTCTTCTGTGCCATCTGAAATTTTAAATGTGATCTAAAAGACGGACCAGGTCCTGCCACCGCACTTTGTCGTTACTTGCCCTCATCGCCTCACTAAGCCAGTTAAGAAGAGTACTTGCGACAAACATTGCTCCCTATGCTAGCCAAGACTATGTGAATAGTAAACACAGAACGGAAAAGGGTCAAAAAGCGTCTAAGATACATTTGCGAGTAGACGGAGTAGCGCATTATGGCCGAGTGTCGTCACGTGCACGGTCATCCTCTTCGATGCCGTCCTTGTGGTTTCTGCCGCCCGTTCACAACGAGCCAGACTTCGCTCGTTACTACTCGTATTTAACAGCACAACAAGTGGCCATGGGCGGACGCAAAGGTTTTTGATTCGGCACGACGAGGCACCGATGCACTCTATACCACGAGTGCCGTCGAGGAGCCGGCCGTCGGCGCGAAGCTCACGTCACTCTTCTTCTTCATATTGCAACCTCAATCCCAAACTCGCACCGTTTGGCTAAAATGCGCAGAGGCATTGAGACAAGATGGCTCTTGCGAATCCCGTATCTCCGCCCTCGGTCTCAGACCAGTTCTTTCGCCACTTCTTCGGCCACAGGATGTTGTTTATCATCCTGAACACTGATGAGTTTGCCATCATGCTTTCGGTGCCTCAATATTCAGTCACCCTTATGTACATATTTCAAACATCTTGCAGTTTCTTCAGAACAACGTGTTGGAACGAATAGCCAAAGTGTCTGTTGCTCAGTAACCAGAGGCGAGTACCGCTGACAATTCTAATAGAAGCTGTTACTCATGTTGCCATCGACATTAATCAAAACTCAAAAATTATCATACTATACAGAAAATTGATCTAAAGAAACAAGTTGGTAACTTGCAATATCAATACCAACCACTAATGACAGAACCTTAAACTTCCCCTTTGACGTTTCCACAAACTCTCAGAGAGCAAGAATGAAAAATGATTCATCAAGAGACACAGCAATGAGAATCAACTCTCTAGAATAAAGGGTTAACACAGAATTTAACGTTCGTTCGCCATTTGTTGATCCAACAAGGAACTTTCAAACCTCACAGATTTCTTGCTATTTGTCTAGATTAACTGACAGTCTCAGCTCGCCAACCGCGATGCAGTTCGTAAAATTTACCCTTCATTTCCAGGACCATCAAAAAGTCAAATGAACAGAAGAAGCTGAACTGCAACGGCGTCAGATTGCCAACTCTGGAATTGCCCTTTTCAAACCATGATGAGAAAGAAGGAGAGTTTAGGACTACGGTGAGGTCTCCCGTAAACTTAGCCACCTATTCTTCATGGTATTGTCGTTATCTGACGTCACAACGGCTTAGTCGTCGCCTGCATTTCAAAGGACGGAACAGCCTGTTGGAGAACTGAGATAGGCTGAAAAAAAATCTGCGATTAGATCCTGCTTAATGCTTTCCAACGACTGGGGACATAGCAGCACGACGACCGCTGCTGAAAATCGACGAGAAGGGACGAACACACAATTCTAGAGTGAAGTTATTACTCCCTCTGAACGGAGGAGTCAGGCAGCGCCAGATAAGGTTCCACTAGAACGCTGCCCATAGGTGGAGCTCATGAAAATTAGAAATCTCCATACTCAGAGGGAACGAGCAGAGGATTGTTTATGAGGCTGCAAGGTGTCGAGAGGACCTAGCCGCACTCTGGATTCTGAATCTCTGCTGGTGGAAGTTATTCTACTCAGGCATGACATCAAGGCAATCAGGCCTATGTTGATGTTCTGGATGACGGAATCATGGAATGGAAGCCTATCAGCGGAAGGGCTGCAATCTTCTGATTGAAGCTATAACAGGCTGAAGCGTTGACCTTGTTACAGGTCTATGCGCTCAACTAAGAGGGAGAATATGATACCTTCCTTGAGGAAGTGCAGTGTGCTCTGTTTGAAGTGTCGAATACAGAAACTTTCGTACTCATGAGCGATTGTAATGTGCTGCAAGCTGAAAGCCTGCCGGTTGCAGACGACCTTGTTTTACTGGCATGTTCTGAAATTAATTTCCAGCACGCTCTGGAAAAGTTTGAAGCTGAGTGAGAGGTAGTCGGCTGGCGTATGAACGTATCTAAAGTGAAAATTCCATGTGCCTTCTAGTTCTCTTTGCTCTCTTCAGATAAACGGAGAAGCAGTGGAGTAGGTGGAGAAGTTCAAATACCTCGAAGTCGCGTTTACTGGTGAGTGAAAACGGTGTGACTAAAGCAGAGTTGGATCTGAATTCTAAACTCTCGATGTTCAAGTCTATCTTCACCTCCATACTCATCTACTTTCACTAGTCGTAAACGATGACTAAAAACTTCGATCCTGATTACATCCGGCTGAAACGAGCTTTCGGAATCGTTGGCATTACATATTGTTACTTTTCGATTTGAAGAAGCAGCAGCTGTACAGCCAGGCTCTCGTGGATATCGGTATTCCGGACCCTGTCGAAATGACTGAGCCCAGCGATTCGTCTCAGAAAGCTCATTTTAACCGTTTAAAGCCGGGATCGATAACTGACTCAACTTATGACGGTGGATACATTTACTGTTATTATCTTTAAACCGTCTGAATGTATAGTCTTTGCATCTTAAAAACTGTCTGGTTCTTATGAACGTCATGCGACTACTGTTCAGTAGAATGTGGAAGAAGTATTGGTTAAATCGTCGACAGGTTAATTTGATTGCTTCAGTTTCCCTTATGCTTTCAATGAATTATATTTTTTTGTTATTGCCCTGTAAAGAGAAATTTTTATTGGTCTTATTCAAATTTTTCAACTGTGCAGAATGTATGTGGGTTTGTTGAACTATCGCACTGTCATTGGACTGCAAATAAAAAAACTTTTGCCTGTGAATTTTTTCATTAGTGCTTGTGAATCCAGATTCCGTTTATAATCAGTTCGTATTGTAGTTGAATCAGAGCTGATCTAATTATGTGCGCTACAGTAGAAGCTTTCCTTTGATACTGTAGACACAGTACCATAGCGACATCGGAAATTCTCAGGTATATAAAGATTATGTTCCGTACATAAGAAGCGACATCATATGGAAACACATTTATAAAGTGTCGTTAGTTTTCTGGAAACGTCTGGCAATTTCAAATCACATTTTATAATTCAGCATATTACTCTTAAAAGCACAATATATTTCATAGTGAGAATTTGACATCAATAATATTAAGCTGATTATAATAGCAAAATTCTGTTACATCAATTAGTTTCATTCACTTATAAACATTCATTTTTCTGATCATTTCGTAGAAAGCTGTACTCAAAGCAAAAAGTCGTTGAAATACATTTTTCTGAATTTGCAAATGTCTCATATACTGAGTGTTGCCCTTTGCTCAGTTTGATATGCCTTTCCGCAAAATACCTTCTGGAAAATAGCCGTGATATCACACTCTATTTTATGCCAATCTCTTACAATGATATCAGTTTGAAACAGCCGATGTTCGGAAACTCCCTGCATCCCAAAATCTTCCATTTTCGCACGTGGAAGCATATTTAAAGGTTTTCTAATCAAATATGTTAAACAGCGTCCATACAAGCACCACAGGTTCTACGATTAACTTCAGAATTTTTTTTGATCGATATATGCGGCTTAAAAGACATTTTCTATGAATTTGCCGCATTGTTGCTTGGTACGTAAAAGTGACACAACTTTTTAATTATACCTGAGCATCTGCAGTTTCCTTCCTAACTACTTGATACTGTAGTTGAATCGCATTGATAGAATTATGTTCAATATAGTACAAAATTTAGTCAGATACGGTAGATACAGTAAGACCACCATGTCGAAAATTCTCAGGTATAAGGTTCTATGAATGTAAGATGTATAATTTCGGTATACTTAAAACGCTGGTACATGGAATTTCACAGTCAAGGCATTCGTTAGTTTGTTCAAAGAATTTAGCGGTACCAAATTTCGGATTTTATGTCCGCATATTTCTTTCCCATATCCTTAATAGATTACATTATGCTTCGTCCTATGAATAAGAGATCACTCGCTATAATGGCAGTAATTCTTTTAAATTCAGTTTCGTTCCGTCATGGATCTTTATACTTCTGATTGTTCCCTGGAAAGCTGCAGCAGAAGAAAAAACATTGAAATATATCCTTCTCCAAATGCATGATTCTGAATGTCGTTTCTTACCCAATTTTTTGTTTCTTTTTCTAAATACTTGCTGGTAAACAACGTTGCTGCTGCAGCCTGTCATTTGCCAAACTTTTATTACAACATCATTCTCCAGTCATGAAAATTTTTCAAAGTCGCTGCATTCTATAGTCCTTATTTGTTGCTTGTAGAAGATTGTTTGAAAATTAAATAGGAAAATGCGCCCATACGTCGCCAAAGCACCGCAGGTTTTACGACTAAGCATCACTGTAGAAATTTTTATCTTGATCAATTTTAACCAACGGTTTGGAAACGATATAAACAAAAATTTTCTATGAATCTGTCGTCTGCTTAAACAGTATATAAAAATGTTTTTGGTAGTACCTGAAAATTTAAGTACTGAAAATATCAGTGATTCCGTCAACTTGTTCATAGAGTTTTCAATGTTCAACTGTTCTTTTGTCATCCAACATGGCGATGCAGTTATGCATTCATGCAATGAAAACAGACGGCGCGATTACGCTGAACAAAGTTGGAGAAACGAATGCGTTATGCTAACTGGCGGTACAAAAAACTGACTTTTTCTGCTAAACCAGGATATCATGAGCATGTAGCACATATATCCGTACTCTCACTAGGTACTTTTACTAATATTAGTATAGCAACATGTCCTTCAACAGCAAATATGCTTATGACGCTACCGGCAAACAATGAGCTCGTAATATGCCTAATACCTTAAGAATAACCACCCTTCTTTAGTGCCTCGATGAGACCAACGATGGAGGCATAGCTGCCAGTTACCATACCAAAGATGCCAATCAACACGAGGAATATTGTGACCGCAAGATGCCAATACCACTTGAAATTCCTTTCGTTGCTTAGGTGGTAGGTGCTGAAATAAATCACGCCAGGGAACATCATAGCGATGACACTTCCAGCGAAGGAGCCTATCAGCGAGATGATGAGTCCAAGATGAGGGAGCACGGCAGCGACAGCAACTGAAATACGAATAAGTTGCTTATGTGCACTAGCTAAACAATCGACAGGCAACTTACAGCTGAACAGAACCAACAGGTAACGGAATGCGTATTCAGCAAGGAACTGTTTTTTGTTTATTCCGTACTTGATTTCGATGTGTCTGGCAACGACGCTGACAGGAACGTAGAATTGAACCGGATAAGTGAATAGTATAGACATGCCAAACATAACTTTGGTTGCTCGATAAATCCTGCGAATCATTATATAATTGTTTTTGAATAATAGCTAGATTAAAGATATAGTTAAATAGTAATTTTGTACGGTGCTTTTTTTCAGCTATAAGATAAGTCATGGAAACTCATAAAAGTGGGCTAATTCAAGAAAAGTCAGCAGATCTTCGAGTTATGCACATTTCAATACACTGGCCTTGCCGTCACTATTACCTTGATACAGACAACGGTAAATACTGTAGATAGCGTTCTCGCATTATGACTGACCACGGAGATATTGAGATCGTTCCGGGTCTGTTTCCTAATCACCGACTGCAGTCTATTGAGTCGTAGGAGCTGGTCAAGCCGAGACGATAGCTTGTCTGTTTTTAATCAGCAGTCGTTCAGAAATTCATGCGGGATGCCTACCCTCGTGAATAGATGTTTATGTTTCTACAAACCTTCATTCACCCAAACGGATTCAGAGAAGGGTACCACTCTATAGGTCCTTGATCACGGACAAATAACA